CACGTTCACTGACGTTTCGGCTGCGGTCGCCACGGCGACCCCTCTTACCGAGACGGCTGCTGCTGTCCACCCGCAGCAGCGCTCGCGTCGCGGTGGCCGTGGCCGCCAGGGAGGTAGGGGTGGTGACGCAGGTGGTAGTGGTCGTGGTGGTGGTGACGGTAGTCCGCCTGAGGGGACTACCACCGGTGGGCAGGAGCAGCAGTCCCAGCAGCAGCAGGACCAGCCCCAGCCGCAGCCGCCGTCCCAGCAGCACCCGCCGCAGCCGTGGGCTCGTCTCCCGCCTGGTTGGCCCGGCACCTCCGGAGGCGGTGGCCGTGGTGGCGGCCCGCGCAGCTTGGCGTCTACCAGCGGCTCCAGTGCTGTGACCTGCCAGTACCAGCTTCAGACCGGGCCTCTCCGCGGCACTCTGTGCCGCCGCCCGCACCCGACCGCCCACTGTTTCCGCCGCCTCGACGATCTTTTTCGTCGTCGCTTTGGCCCGGCCCCGGACCTCCCCGACTGGCACAGCCTGCTCCGCCAGGGCGTGCCGATCTTTGAGTTAGACATGGATCAGATAGGTGCTGCTTTGCATGCTTTGTATGCTGACGCTTCTAGTGTTGATGGATCTTACTACCATGTGTACTCTAGTTTAGGTGTTTCACCCTTGTGTAGCTTAGCTTCCCCTGCTGCGACAGGCGTAGGACTGCCTAGGTTGCCTAGTCTAGTCGCTGCACCGGCTCCGTCCGCGGCCTCCGCCACTGCGTCGCTGTCCTTCACTCTCGACTCCGGTGCTTCTGCCTGCTTCTTCCGCGACCGTTCCACGCTCACGCCGCTTGCTGCACCTGCTGTTGTCTCTCTCGCTGACCCCTCTGCGGGTCCGGTTGTCGCGCGCAGTTCTACGTCCCTTCCCTGTCCGGCAGTTCCCTCGGGCTCCCTTACTGGCCTCCACGTTCCCTCGTTCTCCAGGAACCTGGTTGGTGTCGGCTGTCTCCAGGACCTCGGCGTCACCACCACGTTCCCCGGGCACGAGCGGTTCGCTGTCTGTTCTGAGGCTGTCTCAGGTTCCCCCCTTGCGACGTTCCCCCGGGACCCGGTGTCCGGTCTGTTTACCCTACACACCGCTTCCCCCCCGGTTGGTGCGTCCTCCCAGGTCGCTGCAGCTTGCTCGTGTCGGTCCCTCACTCACCCCTCCCTTCTCTGGCACCACCGCTTAGGTCACCCTGCTCTCCCGCGTCTGCGTCACATGTCCCAGCACGGTCTTGTCTTAGGTCTCCCCGCGTCGCTCCCTGCCCTTCCTCCCTCGACTGCGCCACCGTGCACGCCTTGCGTCGAGGGTCGGCTCCGCCGTGCTCCTCACTCCTCCTCGCTGCGTCCTGCTACTGCCCCCCTTCAGACCCTGCACTTGGACGTTTGGGGCCCTGCCCCCGTCCCCGGACCGCGCGGTGAGCGCTACTTCCTTGTGCTCGTTGACGACTACACGCGCTACACCACGGTGTTTCCCCTGGAGCGGAAGGCCGACGTGCCCGACGTTCTTCTCCCGTGGGTTGTAGCTGCGCGTCTCCACCGCGGTCTCCCCGTGTTGTGTCTCCACTCCGACCGTGGCGGCGAGTTCGCCTCTGGTCGGCTTGGACAGTTCTGTCGTGCGGAGGGCATCACCCAGTCGTACACGTTGCCGGACTCGCCACAGCAGAATGGGGTTGCTGAGCGCCGCATCGGCTTGGTCATGGAGGTCGCCCGTACCTCCATGATCCATGCCGATGCCCCCCATTTTCTGTGGCCGTTCGCTGTTCGCTACGCGGCTCACCAGCTTAACCTGTGGCCACGCTCCCAGCGGCCGCAGGTTTCGCCGACCCTCCTTTGGACCGGGTCCCCCGGTGACGCGTCTGCGTTCCACGTCTGGGGCTGCCTTGCTCACGTTCGTGCCTCTGGCACGGACAAGCTCACTGCCCGCACTGTCCCCTGTGTCTTCCTCGGTTTCCCCCTGGACTCGTCTGACTGGCTTTTCTACCACCCGCCGTCTCACCGCTTCCTCCACTCTCGTGACGTCACCTTTGACGAGTCCGTCTCCTTCTACCGCCGCTTCCCTCACCGAGGTCTCCCAGTTGCCCCCCCCTTTTCCTTGCTCCCTCTCCCCCGGTAGCCCCTGCCCCTCTCCCGCCTCGTCCTGCCCCGTCTGGTGTCTCCCACGTCACTCCCCTCCCGTCGGTTGTCCCCGTTGAGGAGTCTGCTGACTCTGGTGGTACCCCCGGTCCGTCCTTGCCGCGTCCCCCTTCCCCAGTGCCTCCGCCCCCACTGTCGCAGTCGCCGACCCCGCTGCCGCCGCCGTCGCCGTCGCCGCCGCAGCCGTCGCCGCTGTCGCCGCCACTGCCGCCGTTGCTCTCGGCCCCTGGGGGTGCTGGTGTGGAGGAGGGTGTTCGTCCTGCGGCTTCTGGGGGTGCCGCTGGTGTTGGAGGGGGTTCTCGCTCTTGGGGTGTTGGTTCTGGGGGTGCTGCTGTTGAGTGTTCTGCCGACGGTCGTTCTGCCTCTGCTGGTCCCAGAGTTCCGGCCCAGCCGTCGTCGCCGCCACAGCAGCCGTCGCCGCCGGTTTCCGCTCTCCGCCTGCTCGGCCTTCCCTCCCCGGACCGCGCGCCGGTGTCTCCCCCACCGCCTCCTGACCTCCCTGTCTACGGTCCTGTGTTCCCGCCGCCAGACTCGTCTCCGGCCCGTCTTCCTCCTCGTTCCCCTCCTGTGTCTCCTCCGCTGTCCCCTGACCCTACCCCTCCGTCTCACGTTTGGGCTCGCCGTCCCTCCCGTGCTCGTCCCGTCTCTCCTGTCCTGCCCACCCACCCTATGTTGCTCCGTTCCCACTCGTCTCGTCCTCCCCTCCTCCCGTCCCCTCCTCCCTCGTCCCTTGCTGTTGCACCTCCTCCGTTCTCTGACTACCTCCGTGCTGCTCGTCCCCTTGTCCCTCGGGTCCTTGCCTCTCTTGTTACCGACCCTGCTGTTCCTGTCTCGCGCCTTGACGCGCTTGTCGCTGCTGTCGCTGACTTCGCTTCTACCCGCCGCCTTGACTACGCTACCGCTCTGGTCTCTGACCCTGCCCGTCCTCTGTCCGTCGGGGGTGCTCCTGCCCTTGGCAGTGACGTCCTAGAGGACAGGCAGTACGAGCTGGCTTTCCTTTCCGAGGCTGCTCCCCATCTCTGCTCCATGCTGTTAGTCCCTGAGGGTGACCCAGACGCCTTCGACATCCCGACCCCTCGCACCTACGCTGAGGCCACCTCGGGACCTTGGGCCTCTCAGTGGATAGCTGCCATGGAGCAGGAGATGGCATCTTGGAGATCCACCGGCACTTACGTCGACGCAGTTCCCCCGCCTGGGGTGAACGTAGTCGATGGTCGGTGGCTCTTCAAGGTGAAGCGCCCCCCTGGAGAGCCGCCTGTCTTCAAGGCGCGCTACGTGGCCAGAGGTTTCAGTCAGCGCGAGGGAGTTGACTTCTTCCAGACCTTCGCCCCGACCCCGAAGATGACCACTCTTCGGGCGCTGCTACACGTAGCAGCACAGCGTGACTACGAGCTTCACTCTCTCGACTTCTCTACTGCCTTTCTTCAGGGCAGCCTACACGAGCAGGTCTACCTGCGCCGACCACAGGGCTTCACTGGTACCTTCCCTCCTGGGACCCAGTGGCTTCTCAGGCGCCCGGTCTACGGCCTGCGTCAGGCTCCCCGCGAGTGGCACGACACGCTACGTGCCACGTTAGCAGACCTGCAGTTCTTTCCGTCCTCTGCTGACCCTTCACTGTTTGTGCGTTCCGGCCAGACTCCGTTCTACATCCTTGTCTACGTAGACGACCTGGTCTTCGCTACTCCTGACAGGGACGCACTGGCCTCTGTGAAGGCTGAGCTGCTGAAGAGACACACCTGCACTGACCTTGGAGAGCTGCGTCGCTATCTTGGCCTGCAGATCTCTAGGGACAGAGCAGCACGCACCATCACTCTGACCCAGTCACACTTGGTGCGTCAGGTCCTTCAGAGGTTCGGTCTTCAGTTCTCCTCCGCACAGCCCACACCTCTACCCGTAGACCATGGGCTCTCTGCTCCCGTTCCTGAGGAGCCAGTAGAGCCCAGTGGCCCCTACGCAGAGCTGGTGGGTTGCCTCATGTACCTGATGACTTGCACTCGCCCAGATCTCGCATACCCTCTCAGCATCCTGGCTCGCTTTGTGGCTACAGGCAGACACCGACCTCAGCACTGGTCTGCCGCTAAGAGGGTTTTGCGTTATCTTGCTAGTACATCAGGCATGGGTTTAGTGCTAGGAGGACGCAGGCCAGTGGTCCTTACTGGGCACACAGACGCTTCTTGGGCAGACGACGCTGAGACGCTCAGGTCGTCGCAGGGCTACTGTTTTAGCCTTGGTTCGGGTGCTATCTCTTGGAGATCCACTCGCTCGTCGTCTGTGGCTCAGTCTAGCTGTGAGGCTGAGATCTACGCTGGTGCCATGGCGGCACAGGAGCTCCGCTGGCTGACCTTCTTGCTCACAGACTTAGGTGAGCGGCCTAGCTCTGCCCCGGTCCTGTACGCTGACAACAGGGCCATGATACTCCTGTGTCAGGAGCCTCGGCTTGAGGGCAGAGCGAAGCATATCCAGCTGCGGTACTTCCTCCTGCGCGAGCTACAGCAGCGCCGCCAGGCCCGCGTAGTTCACTTGGCCTCAGGTGCCAACACAGCTGATATCTTTACTAAGGCGCTTGCGCCTAAAGATCATCAGCGGCACTGTGTACAGCTTGGTCTTGTTCCTATAGCTGCTCCCCTGTTAGGATCCTGATTGTGTACTCTCTATTATATATGCTTGTCAGACTGGCCTTGTGGCCTTACCTCCAGTGGCTGGACTAGTAGTGCCACCCTGGCTTGCTTCAGTTTTGGTTGTATTCTTGCTGACTGGTCTCCAGACCCCTGCCTCAGTGGTTGGACTAGTAGTGCCGCCCTGAGCTGTTTGCTTCTTGTTTAGTTTCACCCCTTGTCTAGCCTAGGGGGTGTGTCAACTTATACATATTATCTATGTAGAAGTTATAGGCTAGACTGAGGTATGCTTCTAGTGAGTACAACCAACTAGTATTTGTTCTAGGTTTCCACCTCTAGTAATCATTCGTTTCTACGTTAACACTCTAAACTAGACGAGCAAAGCCGGCCCTGAAGGCCTCTGAAAAATCAATGCGTGGACCTCAACTGGTAGGTAGTTTAAGTAGGTAGCCGTGACAAGAAAGGGACGAGGGGGCGAGGGAGTCAACAGGAGCGAGGGGGTCAATAGGGGCGAGGGGGTCAATAGGGGCGAGGCCTCCCCCTGTCGAAGTCCCTGCGGTCAGGCCCCCCTCCCCCTCTAAATCCGCCTCGACCTCCTCTGAATCCGCCTCTGCAGCCAAGCAAGCGTGGAGGAGACACGGGGAGGGAGGAGGGAATGAGGAAACAAGTGGGGGCGGAGGGCGGAGGGCGGAGGAAGGACGGACCCACAGCACGATCTATTACAAGAAAGCACAGCGACACACACTACACAGCCCAACTGCCATGCATAGGGAAAGAGACCGAGAAAGAGAAAGAGACCGACGGAAAGGATCAGCCACCCCACCACCTCCAAAACCCCCTCTCTCTCCCCCTTTCCTCTGCAACCACCCACCAGTCTTTCTTCCCTTCCCCATGGACCCCCCAATCTGCACACAACCCCACTCTATTGCCCTTTCCCCCCTCCCCACTCCCCCTTCCTTCTTTCCCCCCCCCCCCATCAACTTCCCCCGCCTGCTGAGTTCCACTCACCCTCCTCGCCCCCCCCCTCCTCCGGGCCGTGGAGCTGACTTCTCCGCCATGCTCACTTTGATGGTGCTGCCGCGCACGGTGTGGCCTGGGGGGGAGGGGGGACGGGGGAGGGGGAGAACGACGATAGAGGACAGGGCGGTATGGGAACGGGGGAGGGAGGACGGGGGGAAACAAGTCTGGAGCTGACTTCGCTGCCATGCTCACTTCGATGGTGCTGCCGTGCAGAGTGTGGCCTGGGGTGGTTTGGGGGGGGGGGGGGGGGGGGGGAGGGGAAATGGGGAGAGCAGAGGAAACGTAGAGGGGGAGCGGGGAGGCACAGAGCTGACTTCTCCGCCATGCCCACTTTGATGGTGTGTCCTGGAGAAGGAAGGGAGGGAGGCGTGGATCGGGGTCAAGGAAGGAACAAGGATTGAGGATTTGGGTCGACATACGATGGCGGGGGGGAGGTGGGGGGAAGGTGTAGGAGAAGGGGGTCCAAGAAACCGCCGCTTGGGGGACTTCATAGATCAACACCCCATCGCCCTTGGCTTGGCCTGCCCCCCGTCGTCCGTGTCAGCCTTCACCCACGCGGCATGCTCGACGTGCTTTGAAACCGCCATTAGAGAAGCCACAGGCACCCAACTCGCCGTTGAAAAACCCACCGGTACTAGGGGCAGCCTGGGAGTCCTCATAGGTTAACACCCCATCGCCCTTGTTCTGCCCCCCTCGTCCGTGTATGACAGGGGGTGTTCAACCACACGCACTCAACCCACCAGTGAAAACACCAGGAGCATTCAACTCACCGTTGAAGAAGCCGCCCGCGCTGTGAGCCGCCTGGGGGTCCTCATAGGTCAACACTCCATCGCCCTTGTTCTGTCCCCTCTCGTCCGTGTACAGCTTCACGTTGTACGGCCACTGGTCCTTGTACCCGCGCTTCTGCTTGATACGGGCGATCTGAGGGGCGGGAGGGGGGGAGAGAGGAGGGGAGAGGGGGGGTTGGGGGCTAGGGGTTAAGTCCATAGGTCAACCCCTTGTGTTCTGCCCCCTGTCGTCCGTACAGAGCTTCAAATTGAGCGGCCACTGGCCCTTGTACCCGCGCTTCTGCTTGATGCGGGCGATCTGAGAGGGGGGAGGGGGGGAGAGGGGGGGGTGGGGGGGGGGTTTGTGGGTGGGTGCAAGGTGAAGGGTTAAGCCCGAGGTCAACAATTTGCCACGCCAGTTATGAGAATGGCCCTTGCACCCGCGCTTGTATCAGGGGGGGGGACATTTTTGAGGCGCCTCAAAAGTAGACTCCCCAGTTATCAGACTGGTCCTTGTACCCGCGCTTGTATCAGCGGGGGGGCAGGGGAGAGGGGGGGGCGGGAAGGTGAGAGGGCGGGGGGGGAGGAAGAGGTTGGGTGGAAGGTGAAGGGTTAAGCCAATGGTCAACACTTTGCCACGTCTGCTCCTATCAGACTGGTCCTTACACCTGCAGTTCTGCTTGATGCACGTGTGACTGGAGGGAGCCGGACAACGGACGGCCCCAGATTCTCGGGACAACTTGTTACACACCTCGCCCTACACACCTCGCCCTACACACGTCGCCCTACACACGTCGCCCTACACACCTCGCCCTACACACCTCGCCCTACACACGTCGCCCTACACACGTCGCCCTACACACGTCGCCCTACACACGTCGCCCTACACACCTCGTCCTACACACGTCGCCCTACACAGACCTCGCCCTACAGACCTCGCCCTACACACCTCGCCCTACACACCTCGCCCTACACACGTCGCCCTACACGCGTCGCCCTACACACGTCGCCCTACACACGTCGCCCTACACACGTCGCCCTACACCCTCGTGGGCTCAAGTGACAAAAGTGTACTTTTTGAGGCGTCTCAAGCCACAATTCTATCAACCAGCCCAAGTCTCTCAGCACTCTCACACCCTCGTGGACTCAACTTTTGAGGCGCCTCAAAAACAGCTTCTCAGCACAAGTTGTTACACTGCTCGGCACACCCTCGTGGGCTCAACTCTTTTCCTGTTGAACTCGCCTCTGTCTCAGCCACTATTCTTTATCTCACTTTCTTTTCTTTATCTCACCTTCTATTCTTTATCTCACTTTTTTTTCTTTATCTCACCTTCTATTCTTTATCTCACTTTCTTTTCTTTATCTCACCTTCTATTCTTTATCTCACTTTCTTTTCTTTGTCTCACCTTCTATTCTTTATCTCACCTTCTATTCTTTATCTCACCTTCTATTCTTTATCTCACGTTCTTTTCTTTATCTCACCTTCTATTCTTTATCTCACTTTCTTTTCTTTGTCTCACCTTCTATTCTTTATCTCACTTTCTTTTCTTTATCTCACCTTCTCTTAATCTCACCATCCCGCACCATCCCAATGCTGCCAAACAGGTTGACCAGCTCGTCAACAGTAACATCCTTGGGCAGCCCACCTGTATTCCTCCTACAAACCTCACCATCCCTAACCAGCCCGCACCACCCCTTACCACCACCCCTCACCATCCCAATGCCGCCGAACAGGTTGACCAGCTCGTCAACAGTTACGTCCTTGGGCAGCCCGGAAATATAAATCCGCGCGTTGTCACACTCCGGGGGGCAGTTCTCGTCACATTGCTTCACCCCCGGCGCCCCCCCTCCGCCTCCGCCCCCACTGTCCGCAGGCTCATCCCCCCCATATCCCCCTCCCCCCGGTGCGCCTCCCCCGTATCCCCCTCCCCCGCCCCACCCCCCCTGTCGTCTCGTGCATAATCTCCGCCCCCCCGGCCCCCATCCCCGCGCCCTCCGTCGCGGTCGTATTCCCCCCTCCCCCCTCCACGGGACCCGTAATCTCCCCCGCGCCTGTCATCCCCCCCCCGCCTGTCGTCTCCCCTTCCCCTGTCATCTCTCCCGCGGTCGTCCCCCCTCCCGCGGTCGTCCCCCCTCCCCCGGTCGTCCCCTCTCCCCCTGTCGTCCCCCCTGCCCCTATCGTCGCCTCTTCCCCCGCCGTAGCGATCACTCCCCCTGTCGTCCCGCCCGCCCCCATACCGATCCTCCCCCTCCCGCCCGTAGCCCCCGCGACCACCGCCGCCACCGCCACCACCGCCCGCGTCGGCGGGGCGGGCGGTTCCGCACTTGAAGCACTCCGCGCGGCGGGCAAAGTTGTTGTTTCCGCAACTGCGGCGGAAGGGGACGGGACCGCGAGGTGAGAAAGGAAGTCGTGAATAACTTGTGAATAACTTGGGCATGGAGGGTTTCTTAAACTGGGGGTTTAACCAGGAAGCATTCTAAGCGTACGATTACCCTTCGCATTAGTCACTACAGTCACACAGGCGCGATTTCGTGCATAAGGCACTGTGCGACGCTAGTGTAGGCCTATACGTTCGCAGCACCAACTCACCCCGGGCAATCCCAGTCGCCTGGGCGGGGTGGCGGGGCGCCGCGCCCGCCCCCTCCGCCAAACCCTCCGCCTCCGCCGTAGTCTCCGCCTCCGCCCCCCCCGCCTCCCCCAACTCCGGCAGGGCGCGCGGTGCCGCAGCGGTTACACTCCGACCGACGTGCGAAGTTGTTGTTGCCACACCTGAGGCGAACACAGCACAGGCAGAGAAAAGGGCGGGAGGTCAAGGGGAGGACGGAGGGGTAAAAGCAAGGCTGTACGGACAGGCAGGAGTGGGGGAAAAGCCAGGCTGCAAGGCAGGAAGGAAGCAAAAAGATCAGGCTGAAAGGAGAGCAGAACGAAGGTGCTGAAAAGACGCAAAGATGCGAAGTGGACACTTCGTGTCTGCGTGACTCAAGGGTAAACAGATACTTCTAGGCTCCAAAGATGCCGCATCTGCATAGCTGGAGGGTAAACCAGTCGTCACTCATCAATACCGTCTAAACGAATCCTCTACTTACGCGGCAGGAGAAATTAGGGAGGAAAGGGTTGAAAGAGTAGAAGCGAGGGACGACCTACCTGAATAAAAAGTTTGAGACAATTCGAGCAGACCACCAACCAACCCAAAACCTCGCGCCAAGCCCATGCGACAATCGCCATAGCGATGCGAACACCAGCGAACACCACGTTACAGATTCGAGCCAAGACCGGCATTGGAGGTGGTGGGTGGTACTAAGAAGCTAAGATCGGTCCGTACGATGGGTTTGGGCACAGCCAATCACCGTCGCCTCGACCTCCGCCTCGTCCGCCGCCCCCTCCGCGTCCTCCCCCTGCGCGGATCGGCCGCGGATCGCGCACCGTGCCAATAGCGGGTACAATTGCGTGTTTGGAAGGCATAAAGACATCATAAAGGCACAGGAACACTTAACGATTAGCAGGGTTCTTAAAAATCTGATTTGTAGGCATCTTAGAAAGAAAAGAGGATAATCATAAAGGCCTGGCGTGAAAGGAACAGATCTGAGTGTTTCAGGCAAAAAAAAAAAAAACGGCAGCATCTTAGGAAGGTTCAGAAACGAGAAAGAAACGGAATAAATAAATCGTCTCATGGGAGATTGCCAGCAGCCGGATTTCTTACCTCCGTACCCGCCGCCTCCTCCCCCTCCATATCCTCCCCCACCACCACCACCATCGCCGTAACCCTGGTAATCGTACCCAGACATCGCTGCGGATAGATGAAACCGCTGCGTGCTAGGGTTGGGCGCACAGAAGTAGGTCCAGGGAAGTAGAAAGAACTTAGCCCTGGTTCTACTTCTGATCATATAGTTGCACTGTAGTCGTTGTGCCAAAGGAAAGGCAGTCTCCTGCCAAATGTGGAATTTGCTGATTGGGTTTTGAGATTTGGGGGGTGTCAGATGGCAGACGGGGACTGGCAGAGAGAGCTTGTGGTGGATGTTGGCGCGAGAAGTGAAGAGATGTAATTCCCGTTTGTGGTGATGTTGTTGTTATGGGGCTCGAATATTTTGAATCGATGCATGTTCTATTGCGGATTTGAGAATTGCCTTGGAGTCTGGAGTGTAACCTGACGGTTTTGGTTCTAGATCTGGTGATCACTGTGCTGTCCGATCTGTGCATAAAGCGCCTGACCAAACCGTCCACCCATTCGGGAAATTTGGCCTGACGAGGGCCAACTTACTTCGCAAGGCCCTCCTGTAACGGAATTCGCCAGGAAAGTCAGCTCGACACTTGTCGGCAGCACCCGTGCGAAGTGAACGGCGAAACAAACCAAAACGCACATCTTCTCGTCCGTGTCGCAGGTCATGGTCGTTTGTCACTATTGAGTAAACCCCACCTGCAGTTTCCCTGCTCACGAGCGTCGCTTCTCTTCGTTACGTACTGCAGCAGCAGCACTGGCAGCAAACCTGCATTTGCGAAAAGGAAAACCATGTTCGCGTGCACACTCCCTGACCTGGCATGCCATGAACAGTGTCGTGGAGCATGTGATGAACAGATCCTCCCTTCGCACGCGCGCAGCACCCAGCCCCGTTTCTCACCTCCGCCTTTACCTTCCCCCAAAGCTGGACCAAGGGCGCATCCATCCAGCCAGATTCCAGACCAGACCGCGCGCTTGCTTCCCCACTTTCCCCCATTTTTACTGTAGAGCTGGTAGGCGCAATGCCGCCAATTGAGCCAAGGGGTACGGCGCGGAAGGGCGCGGCGGGCCGTTGCTGAGTGTGAAAAACGCAATCTGGTCTGTGCGCTCCTCCGCACCTGAGGTGCTGCCACCACTGCGATTGCTGCCCGTCAGTGCTGCACCACTGCTCTCCGACCAACCAAACCACAACCGCCACCCCACCCCATAACCCCCCCGCTGCCCCTGACCTCCCCGCCTTTTCCCCCGCCCCATCAACCACCACTTTCCGACCGACCTTTTCCCCAACCTCCTCCCCTCACCCCGCCCCACCCGGTTCCCCCACGGCCATCACCCGCACCAAATCGAGCCGCTCGATCGCGCGCCTCAAAACAAGGCCAACGCAAGTCCCGTCGCCACTCACTCGTCCCCCAGCATAAAAGCTTGTGTCACTCGCAGTCCTTCCCAACAGTCATCTGCTTGCTACTCTCTCACTCAACCACCAGCATTCGCACTAGTGTCGCTCACTTCAAGATCGCACAGCGCGAATCACGCTTGCAGCACATAGTCCGAAGCCATCATCACATTTGGATCTCAGTGGCCTTACCTCCTAGTGGCTCCAAAGTCGAGGACTCGTTATTATCTCCGGTCCGTTTTCGTCACAGTGACCCACAAGGACAGCGCAATGAGGATCACTCGGCTGCTGCTTGTCTCTCTGCTCTTCGCGCTTTTCCTTGCCACCAGTAAGCCGCGCCCCCCCACGCCCCCCCATGCTGTACGACTATTTGCGCTTCCCATTGTAACCACTATTTTCGTTAACTCACCTCATCGCCGTCTGTCGCCACTAGCGTGGTCCTCCGCATGTGACGGGGTGACGATTTCGTTCTGCGCGGAAATGTGCGGACCATTGTAATAGCCAGGCCACTAACGTTCTCCGTTTCTATCCATCTCTTACTGCTGTGCCAGGCGGCGTGCTGGGAAAGAAGGACGGCGATAACGGCAAAGGAAACGGCAATGGAAACGGCAAGGGCGGAGGCAAAGGGGGCGGCAAAGGCGGCGGCAACGGGAAGGGCGGAAAGGGCGGCGGATGGAAGGGGCCGAAATTTCCGGGCATGGGGAAGAAGGGGAAGAGCAAGATCGCGGGGGCGGCGACCGCGGTGTTGCGCGGAGACGAGGTAGTGGATTCGAGCGGAAACGTGATCGGAGATAAGAACGCCACGGGGATCATCGACCTAGTGCTCGTCAGAAACGACACCGTCTACGATCTCCACTTCCAGGTTGGCATCGCGCTGACGGACGCCGGCGAGCCGAATTCCGTCACCGTCAACGAAGGCGCGGCAGGCACTAACGGAGACGTGGTCATGGACTTGACGGGCGACATCACGTGGACCAACACCACTGGGAGTGCCGAGCCGGGTCGCCGCTACGGGGAGAAGAAGAGGGGGTGGGGATGGGGAGGCCGCATGTTCCGGAAGCCGATTCGCCGAGATAGCTCCCTCGATAACATGTACACTTACTATACTAGGGGTGTCATTCGCGACGCGTCGTCGCGGACTAACGCGCAAGGCGACACGTACTTAACAGCCATGCAGAACCTTCTGGACTCGCCCGAGTCGTATTATGGGCTCGTTAAGACTGACACGTATCCCGAGGGCGCGGCGCGGGGGCAGTTTAGGAAGGGGCCGAAGGGGTGGGGCGTGTGGCGGAACCGCGGATTCTGCTTCAAGTTCAACTGCTGAGTCCTGACATGCGTCCGAGTTAGGGGGGCTGACTGAACAGCATACTCGGTGGGCTGTCTTTTAGAGGCGCGGTTGGTAGATGGCAAAGTTTCAACGGTTTCTAATCCTCGTTATACAGAACTCTTTGCTGTACAGATGCGCTTCTGTGTTTCAGTTCAGGTAGACCCGACATGTACAAATTCTGAAATATATGGGACATTATGTACTAATACCGATGAGCCACATACAAACAACTTCCCTACGGCCCTGATCGGTGGGCCATCATTCCAGAATGCAGAACCCAGAATGCGGAATCCGGAATGAGGAATCTGCTGCAAGCTTTCCCGAATTCCTGCGTTGATTCGCCAGGTTAGGTAGTGCAAGAAGGTGGGCTGGTTTATGTGTGAAATTGCTGGATGTTAAAGTAACTAGGCTAGGAGGAACGGAAGCCATGGAATGGCGTGAGGGTTTAGGAGCTAGCAGCTAGGAGATAAAGTTGACAAGAGAAAAGTAGAACTAGAAAGAGAGAGGGATACAAGGAGGGGATGTTGAAATCTGAACTAGGAAGAAAAGAGGAGGCCGCCATGAAATGGCGGCCAAGGGTTTAGCTAGGAAGTAGACGAGAGTGCCGAGAGAGAAGAGAAATAGATTAGGAAGAGAGAGAGTACAAGGAGGGGTTTGTTGTTAAAATTATATAAGTTATAATTTAATATAGGCTTGGTAGGTTGTTACTGAACCTTTCTGTAGAGGGTACAAACCCCTCCTTGTACTCCTCTCTCTTCCTAATTGTTACTCTTCTTTCTCGTCACTTTTGCCTACTCCTAGATCTACTTGCCTCACGCCATTCCATGGCGTCCTTCCTTCCTTCCTAGATAAGCTAGGTTCCTAAGTGTAGTTCCTATCATAAGCTTCTTTGATATGGTATCAGAGCAGGAGATCCTTCCTGCTGGACCGCCTACTCACGCTTCTCGCGCTGCCATGGCGCTCGTGTCGTGCCGCTGGCCGCGTCGTGCCGCGGCCGTCGCGACGCACTGCTGCGGCGTCGCGCTGTCGTGCCGTCGCTTCCGCCGCACATTTCTCTCGTCACTGCCTTCCCGCCGTGGCGGCCATGCCGGCCTGTCATGGCGGCTTCGTCGTGCGGCCGTCGCCTCCTCGACGCCCTGCCGTGGTGGCGTCGACGATTTGCCGTGGCAGCGTCACCTTGCTGCCGTTGCAGCGTCGGCGTGCCACCACAGCGTCGACGCCGCGCTCTGGCGGCGTCGTCATGCTGCCGCGGCAGCGTCGATGGGCGGCAGCGGGCAGCACGCCGTCGTAACCGCCACCTGCCCGCCCTCATGCCAGTAAGCGCCGCGCCACTTATGGCGCATTGCTGAAGACTCGCCTCGCCCCGCCCCCTCCCCTCCCCCCCCCCACCTGCACCTGCTTCCCCTGCATCCCCCCCTTTCTTGCTGCAGCCAATGACTGCCTCATGAGGGTCCTCTCCACCGCTGAGGAGACTGGACATGCCGCCGAGAGGGCGGGGGCCGCTGCACCGGCCTCTGACGTTCAAGCCGCCGCCGCAGCCGCTGTTGCCGCGGGCCTGGTGTCGCCGCACGCCGCCGATGCCGCTGTTGCCGCGGGCCTGGTGCCGCCGCACGCCGCTGCCGCCGCCGCTGTCGTCACTGTCGCCGCTGCCGCCATAGCCATCTCACGGGCCGTGGGAGCTGCCCTCTTCCGGAGTCGTTGCGGCTCCTGCTGGGAATGGGGGTGCTAGGCTAGGGGGTGTGGGTGTGGGTATGGGTATGGGTGTGGGTGTGGGGGTGTGCGTGGGCTTGACACTACCAAGCCTAGGGGGTGTGTTAAAATTATATAAGTTATAATTTAATATAGGCTTGGTAGGTTGTTACTGAACCTTTCTGTAGAGGGTGCAAACCCCTCCTTGTACTCCTCTCTCTTCCTAATCGTTACTCTTCTTTCTCGTCACTTTTGCCTACTCCTAGATCTACTTGCCTCACGCCATTCCATGGCGTCCTTCCTTCCTTCCTAGATAAGCTAGGTTCCTAAGTGTAGTTCCTATCCTAAGCTTCTTTGATATTTGTACCCTCTACAGTAAGGTTCGGTAACCTACCAAGCCTAACAATTATATAAAATATAATTTGAACACACCCCCTAGGCTTGGTAGTGGCCAGCCCACACAACCCACACACACACCCCCTAACCTCGGACACCCTCATTCTCGTGAGCAGCCGGGTATCGACCCCTCGTGCTAGGCTATGACACCCCCGGTCGAGAGGCAGCTGGCCGGATCTGGGCGGCCTCAATGACGACAGCGGCGGAGCTCGTGCTCAAGGCGGCTGTGTCGATGAGGACAGGCGGCGTCTGCGGCGGCTGAGGGCCCTCGGCGGTGTGGCACGGGCTGGCGACGACCGAGCCGAAGACAGCAGCTACGGCAGGAGCAGGAGGAGATGCAGGGGAGGGAGAGGTGGTGGGACTGCTGTGGTGGGGTTGCAGTACTTCAGCGCGGCGCTTACTG